GTTGGTCATGCTGCGGATTTGCGGCTGGATGCCATCAACTGAGAGATGCTTCGAGAGACTCTTGACTGCTTCGATGACAATGTCTATCTGCACGGTGGCGGGGCAGATCGGTGCCACGCCCGCAATCGTATGACCTGCAACGATTTCCTCGTATTGAGGAATCATGGTGTTGATGCGGAATTTAGCCAAACACTGCTTGGTGTCTTGGTAACCAACGAAGCTGTACAACTTTGTCGGCAGCTCTTCCTTTTCTTCCACTACAGCAACGGCAAGCTTCGGCGGTGCCTTGAGCTCGAGCCAGTGTTTCTTCTTTTCGAATTGGTATGGTGGCAAGAGAAGGGCGGCATAGTGTTCTGTCTGTGCTCTTGAGTGACCCCAGTAAGTAACAGGGAGGCCAGCCTTCCAGAGTGCAAGGGTGGCATCTGTCAATCGTTGAACTCCCTGCGTACCGGATAGATTCACTGCCTGGAAGTGATGAGCTGGGGGCATATCAAGCGCCTTGCTTGCCATGGACGTAATTGTAGCGTTTGAGCCAGCTTCGAGCCAAATGGCGGATGGGTACTTCTTTGCGAGGCGATGCGTAGCATGTGAGAAGTACACAGGGTTTCGCAGGTGATCAGCGACAAAGTCTGCATCGAACTCTGGAGATGTCTTTGAAGTATCGATGGACCTTTCAACGGGAATGGTGGCAGGGTTGAAGGTCAGTTCGGCGCCGATTTGCTGGAGCTGGGATCGAAGTGGTGCAACCAAAGCCGAGTGGAACGCATTGGAAACACTCAATTTTTTGAATCGCAGCTTCGCGTGCTTCTCTGAGATTGCTGCAATGACGGCATCGATGCTACTTACAGATCCGGCAATGGTGTGTGATCTTGGGGCGTTGTAACAAGCAATTGATGCGTCGAGGCTCGGGTCGACATCTTCCAATACCTTCAACACCTCCTCCTCGGTTCCCTCGACAACAACCATGGAACCCTTCTCAGGGCCCCAGCTGTCTCTGATAAGGGTAGCCCGGCCAATGATCAGCTTCAGTGCGTCCTTGAGGCTGAGAACACCGGATGCGCACAGAGCGGTGAGCTCACCAAAGCTGTGTCCGATCACAGCGACAGGCTTTACACCACATTCAATCCAGCACTGAGCAGTGCTGTACTGCAAAGCGAACAAGGCAGTCTGGAGAAGAACGATGTCCTCGATGGGCGTGGCTTGGAAGACAGCGGGGTAGAGGCTCTCAATACCAAGCGAGATAGCGATGGCATTGCAGCGGTCCATGTGCTGGCGCAGAAGAACATTGCTTTCATAAACTGCACGATCGAGGTTGATAGTGGTGGACAGCTGGCCGCCAAAGCACAGAATGACGGGCCGAGATGGCGGAACATCGATGGAAGAAGTAGCTGCGTTTTCTAACTCAGTGAGCTTGCCAACAAGATCTGGAACTGAACGCGCACTCAAGATTCGAGCTCGAGGAAGAGTGCGGTTGGATTGTCGAGAGATATTGAATGCGAGATCTGCAATGGACGTATTAGGTCTCCGCTTAAGATAATCTTGGAGCTTGGCTGTGTAGGCGCGAATACTCCTGTCGTCGAGACCGGAGAACCAGAACGGATATCGGAGGTCTGCATCGTTCTGAGCAGTTTGACCAGTGGTGGTGGTCTTCAACCTAAACTTAGGTGCCTGGGTCACAACCATTGAAGCATTGCTTCCACTTGCACCATAGTTGTTGATGAGAGCAGCCTTGAAGTCGGCATTCCAAGGCTTTGGCTGCAATGTAATTTGAATGCCATCGCTCTTGGTTGCTCCGATTGATGGGTTCATGACTGTATGACTAGCCTGAGGGGGGATGGTGGCCTCGTGCAACATGCAAAGCACTTTGACAAGACTGACTGCTCCAGAGCTACCCTCAGTGTGGCCGACCAGACCCTTCACTGAGCCCAGCTGCAGAGGGACAGGTCTCTTGATTCCGTTGTCCTTCTCTTGGCCAAAGATGCGACGGATCGCGGCGTATTCTGCTGGGTCACCAACTGGGGTACCAGTGCCATGTGCTTCCACGACCGACACATCCTGTGCATTCAAATTGGACGTCTCAAGAACAGATCTGAAAAGGGTAGACAGAGAAGGAGCATTGGGTACTACGATAGGAGTGTCGTTGCTGTTTTGTGCCACGGCAGTACCAGAGATAACACCAATGATCGCGTCCCCGTCTTTCTGAGCTTGAGAAAGAGACTTGAGGAAGACAGCAGACACAGCTTCACCACGGCAGTAACCATCGGCGTTTGCGTCGAATGGTTTGCAGGGACCAGTTGGGCTGAGGAAAGATGCACCAGCAAGATTCTGGTAAACGCCTGGCTCACTGATAGTGTTTGTGCCACCAGCTAGTGCAGCAGTGACCTCTCCAGACAAGATGGCACGGCATGCTGTGTGAATGGCGACTGCAGACGCAGAACAAGCAGTGTCAAGAGTAAGCGAGGGTCCGAGCCATCCGAAGTAATGCGAAAGCTTTCCAGCAACAAACGAACGAAGGGTTCCAGTTGCTGTGAAGGCATTGGGTGCGTGGTGCGAAGTGTTCGCCACGTAGTCGTTGCCGCACATGCCGATGTAACAGCCAATGTTCTTTGGGTCAGGACCATTCGCATCGGCATTAGCCTGCTGCTTGGTGTCATTGAAGTACCCTGACATCTCGACGGCTTGATAAGCACACTGTAGCAACAACCTCTGCTGAGGGTCCATGCCAGTACTTTCTCTTGGTGTCTTCTTGAAGAACTTGTGGTCAAAGTCTTCTACTCCATCAATGAAGTTACCATACCACTTCCTCTTGGGGTCGTTCTCGCGGAAAGTCGTCTCGAAGGTGAACTTATCGTCCGTTACGAGTTGGTGCTGTGATTTTCCAGATGCGAGGAGATCCCAGAATTCAGTGGCAGAGGAGGCACCGGCGACGTTGATGGCAACACCAATAACAGCAACGTCATTCGGGTTCACTCTTAGTGCCGGCGTAGTTGGGTCATCGAAATATGTAACGCGTCCAGAGAGCCCGCTAAGTAGACTTGCTGGCATACAACGTTCACCGAAAGCGACGAAGGAGGTGGAGCTGGAGAGGTACGACGATTTGAGTTCGGAAACAATCTTGTACCATTCGCACCGGTGTAATAGAATAGACTGAAGCGCAGTCTTGTGAATGCTTGTCTGGTCCTTGAGCGCGGCATCGTTGCTGTCAATCCTTGTTGGGATATTTAGCGCGGATGTGCTACTTGGAAACGAAAACTTGGGATTCTTGTCGCAAAACTCGACGATAGAGTCGAATACAACGTTGTGGTCGGGTGTGCTGTGGAAACGACCTGAAAGTCCAAGTTCTGTAACGGCAAAACCGGCATCTTGCAAGGCGCATTGGAGTGGCTCGAAGATCGAAGCGTTCGAGGTGAGCGACACACGTGTTGTGTCATATGCTACGGCGATATAGGCCTTCAGATAGTAATGTGTTAGAATGGGGACATTGATCAAAGCGAAGCAAAGAAGATGGTTACGTTACGAAAGGGGGATAGAATACTTACATCTGGAAACTTCGCAAGAATATCTTCCAACTCCTTGCGGTTGTCTCTGGAATCGACACGCTTCCATGCGACGGAAAATGTGTTCGAAGGACCCCTGGGATCTTGCAGCTGCTGTTGGTCGACAACACAGCCAGCAAGCATCGCCAAACGTACGGCAACTCCAGCGTTTTGCGCAAACTCTGTGGTCGTACATTGAGGGGAGAGGGAGACAGCGAAAGCAGACAGCAATCCAATGCAAAATCCTACCGTCTCCTCAACGATAGGCTGCTCTTGGATGGCATCCTGGCTATCAAGAAAAGCCCCGTACTGCACCAGTTGTGCAATCACAACAAGGGGTGCGAGAATCGAGTTGGGCAGCTGCTCTCCTCCTAGAGCCAATTGTCCGGTCTTTAACCACGCTGCTAAGTCAACGATTTGTGCTTCGCTAGCTTTGTTGTGTAATTCGGGACAATTGTTCACTAAGGATTGGTAATCCGAAGGCAGTGAGGCGAGTACTTGGTCGACCCACGCATATCGTGAAGAAGAGAGAATAGTGCCTCGAAGTGTGGTGAGGTTTGATTGCGACAGGGACGGTGAAAGAGGTCCAAAAAGAGCAACCACCGGGTTACTTGTGCCGAGCTTCTCGGATGACATGTTTGGTAGAAGGATGTTTAGGTCGACAGACAACAGGACGGGGATATGAGGAAACTGTTGTTTGTCCGGGATGTAGTGGATAGATAAATAATAGGAGAAGTACAGAGATAGCCAAGCGGACAAGAAAATGGGACGAGGGTATGATTCAGAAAGGCACCGTCGGAGGCATGAGGCTCTTCGAACTGTCGTCTTGACGTGGTGCAGAGACTTTGTAGTGCTACAAGATGTCCAATTTCCAAGTATTCACTATAGCATGTATATACATCTTTTCACCCGAACACCCAAGCCACCATGAATCCTAACTTCAATACAAATGCCGGCTCGATTTAGATGGAATCCGCTTGAGACCGCGAATTGTGTCTCCGATACGGACTATCTTGGCTCTGTGAACCCTCGGAGTAACTGTTCGGACTCTCACAATCACACCAGCGCCCCACTCTCCATTGGTTAACTAGCCGTAAAATGCAAAAACCAAGATCCGATATATGCCCGGTGATATGCCGATTACATTGGCGCCATGGCTGCGGAGCCTCGCAGGTCCGACTAGGCGGTCCTGGTGGATACGAAATGGTACTCGGGTTGTTACCAGGGTAGTTACTACAACACCGTTGATCTATAATACTTGTATTAGAACCCGTCTAGTTTACAGGAAATAATTCTTATATTCATAAGTCCCTCGCGGTCCAAGGTACTTGATTGTATTGCGCACCTTCCTTCCTTCCACCCTTCCTCACAGCGGGCACAGATTTGACATCTTCTTTGACTACGGATCTCCACATTATATGATCCATCTCTGACATAGTCCATTTGCACATAAATTCAACAAAGATGTCTGCACCCAGTGTTCCTATTGCCATTATTGGCATGAGCTGCCGTTTCGCTGGCGGTGCCACCGATCCCGAGAAACTTTGGCAGCTGTGCGCCGAAGGACGAACAGGATGGAGCGAAATCCCAGAGGACAGATTCAAAATCGACGGCCACTACCATCCTCGGCCGGACAACCTCAATACAACAAACGTAAAAGGAGCATGTTTCCTTGATGAAGACGTTGGCAACTTCGACGCCACGTTCTTCAACCTTCCCGCTGAGACAGCAGCAGTAAGTATCACTATCCATTCATCTTTAGCTTGAATACTAACGAAGAAATAGTGCCTGGATCCCCAGTTCAGGCTCATGCTCGAGGGTACCTATGAGGCCTTCGAGAATGCAGGTCTTACCATGGAAGACGTTATTGGTTCCAACACATCAGTCTACGCAGGTTCCTTTTTCAAGGACTACCATGATGCTGGACTTCGCGACGTCACAACACTGCCGCGTTTCTTTCTTGTCGGTGTCGGCTCTGCAATGGCATCGAACCGTCTTTCTCACTACTTCGATTTACGAGGAGCATCCATGTCCATCGATACCGGTTGCTCAACAACGCTCACTGCGCTACACCAAGCATGTAATGACCTCCGCAACCGCGAGTCCGACATGTCTGTAGTTTCAGGCGCTAATCTCATGCTAAATCCCGACATGTTCATCACCATGTCTTCTATCGCATTGATCTCCAAGGACGGTCGCTCTTTTGCGTTTGACAGCCGTGCGAACGGTTACGGTCGTGGAGAAGGCGCAGCAACCATTGTGTTGAAGCGTCTGGATGATGCCATTCGCGATGGCGACCCAATTCAGTGTGTCATCAAAGAGACTGGTCTTAACCAGGACGGAAAGACAGAGACAATCACTACCCCGAGTCAAGCAGCACAAATAGACCTGATGCGACGTTTGTACAAGAAAGCCGGGTTAGACCCAAAAGACACGGGCTACTTCGAGGTATTTGCCGTTGTCCACCCCTGAATGCTCACTACTAACCTTGCCCAGGCCCACGGAACCGGAACACCTACCGGTGATCCCCTAGAGGTCGGCGCTATTGCTGCCGTGTTCAAAGACTCAAGACCAACCACTACCCCGCTACCTATTGGTTCGATCAAGCCCAATGTCGGCCACACTGAGTGTGCGTCTGGTCTCGCCAGTATCGTCAAGGTTGTCAAGGCGATCGAGAAGGGACTCATTCCCCCAGCGGCAAACCTGGAGACCATCAACCCCAAGTTGAAGCTTGGAGAGTGGAACCTGAAGGTGCGTACCCCACTAGTCCCCTGCATATTCGCAGAAAAAAAATAAGATGGCGTGTTAACATGTATTTACCTTGCAGATTCCCCGAGCTACTGAGCCTTGGAATGCATCTCTCCGCCGCGCCTCAGTCAACAACTTTGGATACGGTGGCGCGAACTCCCACGTTATTCTCGAGAACTACACTCCTGCCGAGCGTTCCTTTGGCAGCTCCTCTTCCCTCCCTTCCAAGGTCTACGTCCTCAGCGCCAAAGATGAGCACGCTGCGACAGCAATGGTTTCCAACCTCCGGGACCATCTCGAAGATGTCACGGATAGCATCGAGTACCAGAACGATCTCGCATATACCCTCGGAGAACGTCGCTCAGCATTCCCTTGGGTAGCAGCAACCTCTGCTTCTTCGATTTCCGAACTCATCCGACTTATCGATGCCGGAAAGATGAAGCCAAAGCGCAGGGGCGATGTCCCAAGAATTGGCTTTGTTTTCACTGGTCAGGGTGCCCAGTGGTGGGCTATGGGACGTGAGCTCATCTCTGCCTACCCGGTCTTCCGCGAGACACTTCATGAGGCCGATAAGTACCTTCGCGAGTTTGGCGCCCCATGGAGCCTGATTGAAGAGCTTTACCAGAGCGAGAAGACGACCCGAGTCAACGAAGCGGCTCTTGGTCAGCCAGTGTGTGTTGCTGTGCAAATCGCATTGGTCCGCTTGTTGGAATCCTGGGGCGTGAATCCATCGGCAGTGTGCAGTCACTCTAGTGGTGAGATTGCCAGTGCCTACGCTGCAGGTGTCTTCGATCTCCGCAGCGCTATGGGCGTCGTCTACGCTCGTGGTTTCCTTGCTGCCGATGTGGCAAAGTATTCCAACCTTGGTAAGGGTGGTATGATGGCGGTTGGTCTTGGTGTCGATAACGTACAGAAGTACGTTGAGCGTGTCACTGCCGGCCATGTCCTTGTTGCGTGCCAGAACAGTCCTTCAAGCGTAACCATTTCTGGAGACATTGCCGGAATCGATGAGCTGGAGACGATCCTCAAGGAGGCGGGAGTATTTGCACGAAAGCTCCAGGTACCTGCGGCATACCACTCCCACCACATGGAGCCCCTCGCAACGCCCTACGCAGACTGGCTGAACGCGAACATCAAGCCCCAACCAAAGATGCGCGACATCATTTACTCTTCGCCCACTATCGGTCAGCGCATGACGGACGTAGAGGAAATTGGCGCTGCGGACCATTGGGTAAGGAGTCTTACTCAGCCAGTGCTCTTCGTTGAGGCTTTTACCAACATGTGCTTTGCTGCCCCAGGGGAGCCCAGCGATGTTGACATGGTCATCGAGCTCGGCGCTCATCCCGCTCTCTCTGGCCCCATCCAAGACATTACAACGCTTGATGCCTTCAACGGTTCCACGGTTGGCTATGCCAGCTGCTTGGTACGCAAGAAGAACGCTGTCGACACCATGCACACGCTGGCGTGTGATTTGACCCACAAGGGCTTCCCGCTGAAGATGGCCGCAGTCAATCTCACAACCCAAGGCCGAGTAATCACCGATCTTCCAAAGTATGCCTGGAACCATCAGCTCCGTCACTGGTACGAGCCACGCATGAACAGGGCGCATCGCATGTTGTCTGAGGGACCTCACGACTTGCTTGGTTCCCTTGTCACTGGTACCAACCGCATCAACCCTTCTTGGCGCCATGTCATTAAGCCTTCTTCCATGCCTTGGATCACCGACCACATGCTTCAGGGTACTGTCGTATATCCTGGAGCGGGTTTCATCTGCATGGCTCTTGAAGGTCTTCTACAAGCCCAACAGCAGACTGACAAGGTCATCACTGGATACCGCCTGCGTGACATTGACATGCTCGCTGCACTGGTCATTCCAGAGGGCGACAATGGCATTGAAGTTCAATTGTCACTCAAGCCATGTGGAGATAAGGCAATCTACGCCAGGGGCTGGAGAGAGTTCCAGGTCTTCTCCGTTACTCACGACGACAAGTGGAATGAGCACTGCCGAGGTCTCATTTGCATCGAGTACGACGGCAAGACCGCTCCCAAGGCCCCTGTGGCTGTTCGTGAAAAGAGGGAGTACAGGACTCGTGTCAGCCCATCAGATGTGTATGGCTCCATGCACCGCGTGGGTATCCAGCACGGCCCCATCTTCCAGAATCTCAAGGCAGTGCAAGCTCGTCCTCAGGGCTCTCTCGCAACCATTGAGACCAGAGATACGGCTTCTCTGATGCCGTACAAGTTTGAGCACGAGCATGTCATCCACCCAACCACCCTTGACACCGTCTTCCAGGCAATTTACGCAGCACTGCCTGCTGCTGGAGCTCATTTGCCCTCCGCACAAGTCCCACGTTCCATCAAGAACTTGTGGATCTCTGGAGGCATCAAGCACGGCGCGCCCAACACTTTCAGTGCCTTCTCCGAGGTGCGAGACAACGACAAGCAGGGCTTCAGGGCTGCAGTCACTGTCGTCGATGGTGCCGAGGGAGACGTTGTCATTACTATCGAGGACTTCCTCTTCCAGTCTATTGGTGACGCTCTTAACAAGCGTGAGCCATGTGAAAACGACAAGTTCCTCACTCCCAAGTGGGTTCCGGATCTAACCATGATGAAGCCAGAAGACATCAAGCAGAAGCTGTCTAGCGAACCCGATCTCGTTGAGCTGCAGGCTTTGGCTGATACGAGATTGGCATGCTCTTGGTTTATCAAGGATGCTCTTGCGGCCATTACTCCCGAAGAGGTCAGTGGTCTTCAGGAGCACTTCAAGCGCTACCACGCATGGATGGAGTCTCAAGCTTCGGCAAACGAGGTTTCTCCTGTTACACAGGAAGAAAAGGCTGCGCTCATTGCCAAGGTCGCGGCTGTCAGTGCCAATGGAGCCCTTGTTTGCAAGGTCGGACCGCACTTGGCCGACATCCTGTGCGGACGCGCAGCACCGTTGGAGTTGATGCAAGAGAACCGCTTGCTACAGCGCTTCTACACCGAGTCTCTCAACCTCGACCGCAGCAGGAACCAATTGGCAGAACTTGTTCGCCTGTTTGGATTGAAGCATCCTCGTGCTAAGATCCTCGAAATTGGCGCGGGCAGCGGCAGCGCAACTTACCCTGTCCTCAAAGCCTTGGGAGTCGAGGATTCACTCTGCGCTTCGTACGATTTCACTGATGCTTCCGACAGCTTGTTCGATGCTGCCGAGGAAAACCTTGCAGCATGGAAGAGCATCTTGTCGTTCCGCACGCTCGATATCCAGCAGGATCCTTCTGGCCAAGGCTTCGAAGCCGGATCATACGATCTTGTCATTGCCTCGCAGGCCCTGCCCAAGACTGGATCTGTCGATGAGACCATGGGAAATGTGCACAAGTTGCTCAGGCCCGGCGGCAAGCTCATCGCCATTGAGCGAACCAACAACCAGCCAGACTTCCGCATGACATTCGGCCTGCTGTCCGACACGAGCCTTGACGACGAGGAGCAGCGATTGTTGACTCCTTCTTTGACCGCCGAGGCTTGGAATGACGTGTTCAAGAAGAACGGCTTCACTGGACTGGATACTGAGGTCCGTGACTGCGAGAGCAACGAGGCTTACGCCTACAGTGTCCTGATGTCTTCGACTGAGACTGAGGCGCCTTCATACCACCAAGAGGTTGTCATTGCGATCCCTACACTGAGCCCCCCTCAGGAATGGCTGAAGAGCTTGACTGATGCCGTTGGTGCCATCACTAACTCGCAGCCCACTGTTCAGCCATATGACAACCTTGACTGCGAAGGAAAGGTCGTTGTCTTCCTCCCTGAGGTCTCAAGCAAGCTTCTTGTCAACCCCGGGGATGCGCAGTTCGAGGCAGTTAAGAATGCCTGCATCAAGTCCAAGGGTCTGCTCTGGGTTACCCAGGGTGGAACAGTGGAAAGCGCTGACCCATTCTCAAGCTTGGCTTCTGGTTTCCTTCGTATTCTCCGCCTCGAGTACGTCGGCAAGCTCCTCGCCACCCTCGACCTCGACTCCAAGGCAGAGGTCTGGTCCGCTTCCACCGTCTCAGCCGTCAGCAGCGTTTACGCCGGCCTCTTTGCCAATCCCGCCGAGAACAAGCCCCGAGACTTTGAGTTCGCTGACCGCAACGGCATCAACATCTTGCGCTACTTCAAGGACCATGCCCGCAATGATGTCTGGTTCCCTGACACCGACGAGGCAAACACCACTGTTCTGCAGAAGTTTGTCGACAGCTCGGTCCACCTTACTATCGAGAACCCTGGACATCTTGAAAGCCTTGTGTTCGCTCCCAGCGCTGACAAGTCAGGTCTTGAGATTGCGGCCGACGAGATTGAGGTTTCTCCTCAAGCTTTCGGCATCACGCCTCGCGACATTGGTGCTGCGTCAAACACGATCCAAGACCGAACCCTGGGCTTCGAGTGTGCTGGTACAGTGACTCAAGTCGGTGCGAATGCCGCGTCTGAGGGCTACAAAGTCGGCGACCGTGTCGCAATCGTCATGGACGGCGAATCTGGCAACAGAATCCGTGTCCCTTGGACCAGCGCGGTACAACTCCCAGCTGCCATGGGCTTTGAGCTTGCTGCTGCCATTCCCGTCGCATATGCAACGGCCTGGATCTCGCTCATGGACGTTGCCCACATCCAGAAGGGAGACAGCGTTCTCATCCACGATGCCGGCTCTGCCATCGGTCAAGCTGCTGTTTCGCTCGCCAAGTACGTCGGCGCAGAGATCTTTGCTACAGTCAGCGACCCCGAGCACAACAGTTTCCTCAGGCGTGTCATTGGCCTCAAGGGAGACCACATCTTCCCAAGCACCGACTCTGCCTTTGCCACAGCCATCCAAACCAAGACGAATGGCCGTGGTGTCGACGTCGTCCTCAACACGCTCGAAGGATCGCTGCTTCACAAGACTCTTGAATGTGTTGCTCCTCTCGGTCACTTCTTCGAGCTCGGAAAGAGGGATCTCGAGCAGAACAGCCGCCTGGACATGGGTGCTTTCGCTCGTGGCATCACCTTTTCCGCAATCGACGTCACCATGCTGGCTAAGCACAAGGGACGCCAAGTGCACCGCGCCTTGACTTCCACCCTTGACCTCATGAAGACGAGGAAGATTCGTGGTGTACCGATCTCGGTGCACGACATCTCCAACGCTGTCCAGGCTTTCCGTAGCGCTCAGTCGAGCGGATCGCTTGGAACAGTCGTTCTATCAGTCAAGCCTGAGAGTACTGTACCGGTATGTATACTCTATTTTCCCACACAATCCTCGAGTTCATTTGCTAACATTCAAGCAGGTTATCCGCCAGATGCCCACTGTCAAGCTCCACGCAGACGCATCCTACGTCGTCGTCGGTGGCTTCGGAGGTATCGGCCAGAGCATCTGTGTCTGGCTTGCTGAGCACGGAGCCAAGAACCTCATTGTCCTCTCTCGAAGTGCCAACGCCGCCGACAAGGCCGCTCCTCTGCTCAACGACCTGAGCAACCTCGGATGCCAAGTCAGGGCCGTAGCCTGCGACATTGCCAACGAGGACGATGTCAAGCGCGCCGTTGAATCCGTCAAGGACTTGCCTCCCGTCCGCGGTGTGATTCAGGGTGCCATGGTTCTCCGCGACTCGATTCTCGAGCAAATGTCTCTTGCCGACTACACGACTGGTCTGCGTCCCAAGGTCCAGGGTACGTGGAACCTGCACACTGCTTTTGAATCTGCTCCTCTCGACTTCTTCGTTATTCTCTCTTCCATCGCTGGTATCATTGGTATTGCATCTCAGTGCAACTACGGCGCGGGCGGTGCGTTCCAAGACGCATTGGCAGCGCACCGCACCAGCCGCGGTCTCCCCTGCGTCTCCATCGACATCGGTGCAGTCAAGAACGTCGGATACGTCGCCGAGCACGACGACACGCACAACTACCTCAAGAAGCTCGGCCACATGGTCCTCTCCGAAGGCGACGTCCTCAAGTCCCTCGCCTGCGCCATCACCTCGCCCTTTGCCACCCAGCTCGTCTTCGGCATCAACACCGCACCCACCAGTGCCCTTTGGGACGAAGGCCCAGCATCTCGCGACCTCCGCTTCTGGCCCGCCAAGTTCCGCTCGTCAGGCGATGAGAGCGCAAATGCAGGCATGGCTGATACTCTCGCCGGTCGCATTTCAAGCGCCACCTCGCTCGAGGAGGCTGCTACCGCGGTCGCGGGCGAGATCACCGCTAAGATCATGGATATCTTTATGATTCCAGAGGCTGAAGTGTTCCCGCACAAGCCCATGGCGGATTTCGGTGTCGACTCCCTGACAGCGGTGGAGCTGAGGAATACGCTGGCAACAAAGGCTGGTGCTGAAGTGTCCATCTTTGATATCATGCAAGCGCCGAGTTTGAGCGCTATGGCGCTGTCGATTGCGGCCAAGAGCTCGCATCTTAAGTCGTCGTTAGTTGTTGCTGCTTAAATTGCTTCTATGGTTGGTTGTATGATTGTGTAATGTTTGTATGAAATAGTTTTCTTTTTTTTTTCGTAAGTAGTTTTGGGGGTTGGTGGGGGCGTTATTTGATATAGTAGTACCTTAGTCTTTTTTTTGTTTTCATATCAATGTCAGAGATTTCACTATATCGATGTGTTTTGCTTTGTGATTTTTCAGTGAGATTCGACTTTAGAAGTTGCAAAGACAGAGTGGATGAGCTGTAAACAGTGGTATTCCACATATGTGGCAACACTCATGACATGTGACGTGATCTGTTTCTATATACAAGATAAAATATAAACAAGAAGTGCCGAAGCAAGAAGAAGATGTCAGCAAGTATATGTAAATACTCAGCGCAGCAGGCCAAGCATCTACACCACAGGCCAACCACTCGAAAAGTCAATCTTGTTGATACCAAATTTCTTCTGGCCATCCTGGTATCCAATACGGGTATCAACGTAGTGGTAGTAAAGTACAGGACCCATCTGGGGGTCATAGTACACACCCTGACCACCGGGACCGTAGACCCAGCCGTGAGACTCGAGCACAGTGGTACCACCACCGCGAGTGCAGTCGACACCGTTCTTATCGACAAAGCCGCCCGTAGCGCTGGTGGACCTGCAGACCTGGATCTTGTACTCCTCGCCGCGGGGGGGCCTGTTCGTATCGAAGCCGCAGCACTTGCCGACGGAGAAGAAGAGGTAGTGGTATTTGCCGTTGAGAGCGATAAAGGGGGCTTCCTGGGCGTGGGTACCCTCGGGCTTGAAGGCAATGTTTGTGACGGCCGAGGAGCTGGTTTTGAGGGGCGGGTTGGTCATGCCGATGCTGAAGAGGTCCTGCCAGAAGGAACCGAAGGACATGACGAATTTGGAGCCGTCCCAGTAGAGGGCGCCGTCGATGGCGTTGTAGTTTTTGCCGCTGCTGGACTGGATGCCCGTGGCGCCGAGGTCGGTCCATGTGTTGAGGTCTTTGCTGGTTGCTACGCCGATGGCTGAGTTTTGGCTGCCGAACGAGGACACGCTGTAGTAGAGGTAGTATGTGTCGCCGACCAGGGTCACGTCGGGGGCCTGTAAGGTGGTGGGTTAGCTGGGTGGGGAGAGAGAGATGACGGTGTTTCGGAATCAAGCATACCCATAGGTCGTCCTTGCCAGGCAGGTTAATCTTCGAACCCGCGGGAATGGCAGCACCCTTGTAGGTCCAGGGACCAGTGATCTTGGGCGCGGTATGGATGGCGATCTTGCCGCCAGTCGAGAAACGGAAATAGGTACCATCTTTACGGCGAATCAGAGCGGGATCATGGGCGTTGTTGCAGATTCCCGTGCATTCCATAGGGTTGGCATAGCCGTAGACTGCAGTGACTGCAGAAAGCAGCGAAGCAACAAGAGAGTAACGCATCTTGAACAGCCAGGCGTCGGACCAAGAAGAGGGAGAAAAAAAGAATGGGGATGTGAAGAGAGAGAGAGAGGGCGGTGGACGAGCAACAAACTACAACCAGCAGCATTCCAAGCATAAGATATATAGTAATATATTTTTAGTCTGTATTCAAGGACTTTTGACGGAATCTAGAAAAGCGGGCCCCTGGGTCACAATGCGGAATGAGAGGGTGTTGTGCAACGGGCTGTTCCGTGAGTGGTGGAAACACCAAACATGGCCATTGAGATATGCATGCTAAGGACAATCTAGTTTGGAGGGGAAGGGAGGGAAAATAAATGGCGTTTCACGTTTGGCCAGGCTAGCGGCGTCTGTGAATGGTGGCTTGGGTGGAGGGTTGGACAGCCCATGTGGGTTGTCATAGGCACGGGGGAGGATTAGGCCCCGCTGAGAGCCTTCGGAACAAAATTGGGCCAATGGTAAGGATGTAATGAGGCTTCGGGTGAAACCCGCCCGGGCCAGTATATATTACCGTTTTGGGTATAGTCCTCGGTTTCGTCCTGCCTCTTTGGGCTACTCCGCCCGCTGTCCCGTCAGGAACACGAGGAACACGTGATCGGGATGGAGAGATATGCAGTGTCTAGGTGCCGGAATATCTCCTTCTTCCAAACCGTAAAATGCATTATCTTCTCAAGCTTCTGCAGCCTCCCGCCCGCCTACTTGCACATCCTTCCATTGCGCAACCTCGCACGGCCGCCTGTGCATCTTTGATCGCCATGCACTAGTTTTCCTCGCTCCGTCGACCTTGTTCAGGTCAAACCCCCGTCGACTACTGAGAAGATATACCATCGTGTATGCAACCTTGGAGCCCTTGACTGAAGGCCTCAAGAAGCTATGCGACGACACCGTTCACCTTAGCCTCGCTTCCACTACATACTATCACGCCCACCTGCCTTTTCTTCAACAATCTCGGTCCGGCTTTGAACAATGTGCTTGAGCCGAGGCACGTCTCTGGTGATCTATGGATGGATGATTGTGGGTAGCGAGAGAAGATGGCGTACTTGAAGCTATGGCGGTGTGTCTCTCAACCCGCCACAAAAGCAATGACCGAGTATTCGTATGAGCCTCTAGCAGCCCGAACATCCTGAACCAATCTCATACTCTAGAAAACTCCATATCTCCCGCCTCACACGGTATCACTTGATGCCCGACACACGCCGATCCAACTCGCCGTCTTTCCACCATCACCCGCTTACCTTACACGTCCGTTCCACAATTTAACGTTGGATGTGGACTACAAGCAAAACATGGTTACGAGCACAGTCAGCAGCAGCAGGCGTAACCTCCCGATGACGCAAACCCCGGCAGTAGAGGATGACATAACGTACATGCATATGTAGTTCTCGGTGCGTCCTAAAAATAACGAACTCATGGTTCGATTTATCAGCGTGGTGTTCTAGGTGAGATTACACAGGTAGGTTGTATTACATAAAACTAATATCAGAACCAATTTCACCTCGTAACTCCATACATTTACACGGATTGGACTAGTATCTAAGAGCACATATCAAGATGATCGAAAATGTTTTTCATTCAGATAATTATCATTACACTACGACAAGCTTACTTATTAAGCCTCTTCGCCCGCTCCGGGTCCCTCCACCATTTACACTGCTCCAACCTAATTGCCACTCCCTCATCCTCCATATACGCGCCACCTTGGTCTGGAGGGCTAACTACCAACTGCTTACTTCCAGCACCCTCGTACTTCTCCCAGACCGCAGAGTCGGCAACACGATGCGTGTTTGGATCGCCACTGACGACGAAACTCGCCCAGTATGCGCTGTAGAGCACGGATATCTCCGGGTATTGTGTGTTGAGCTGGCCGTTGAAGTAGAGAGAGTCGCTGGCATGGGGTATGCCTCTGTATGTTGGCGAGAAGTTGGGTGTGTTCCAGCGCGCCTTGTAGACGGGTGCGGAGGCGGAGGAGAGGACAACCGCGGTGTCTTGGACGGGGCAGATGTACGAGTAGTCTCCGTAAGCAGCGGAGAGACGCTCGAATTGGTCGGAAACGTATCCCAGTGTGCCGGGTGCAATCTTTGTGTTGGGGTACAATTGCTCCAGATCAGCAAGATCCTCGGCGTTCAGGCCTGGGGTCAGAGTTTCCCAGAAGGTGAGGTACTCGGCATCAGTGCGTAGGTCCTGTGGTGCGAAAGCTTTGCCTTCGTCGGTAGTAGAAGAGATGAGGAGAGGGACCTTGAAGAAAGTTCCTTCCTCGCCAGATGTCGAGCCACGCTTCTCAAAGATTGGTCCTGGAGAAACAGGCTGCCAGGGCCATGTGATGTTGTAGTTGTGGGCATTGTAGATTGACGAGGAAATGAACTGGATATCATCCACTTCAGATGCCTCCAGGCACGCAAGCGCTTCCGAGGTAGGTGATTCAGGACAGTTGAGATAATCCATAAAGTCTGCAACTTGGCGTTGGTAGAGCGGATAGTCGATACCTGGGAATGCACGAGCAGTCGGCGAACCAGATGAAATGGCAGCCTTGCTGAACAATGGCTTGCCAGCATCCTCAGCATAGTTGTGGAAGAGATGAATGCCAACAGCGTGGCCGCCAGCACTCTGTCCACCAAGCGTGATCTGGTCCTTGTCGCCTCCAAAGTGACCAATGTATTTTTGCAAAAACTCCAGCGCCATCTTTTGATCTCGGATCCCCAGGTTCAAAAGACCCTCTTCTTCCATGAACTTTGCAGGGAGAGTGCCTAGTGCGCCAAGGCGATACTGCACTGTGACGACCATGAGAGGCTCCGTGCTTCTCTCAACAAACGTGGCACCATCGAAGCTGCGGTGGGAGCCAGAAACAAATGATCCACCGTGCAGGTAGACCAAAGATGGCAGCTTCTTTTCCATGGAGACGCCAGATGGTCGGTAGACATTGATGGTGAGGCAAGCCTCAGACTGTCCCAGCGAGCTGTACATGTTCTGGAAGCAAGCCGGTCCATTCGCTGTCGCATCTTTTGTGCCATCAAAAGGCGCAGGCCAGGTAACTGGCTTGAACCGGCCTGGTCCAACCGGCTGCGTAGAGTACTCGACATTCAACCAAGCATCTACCGGTCTGCTGAAAGTCTCCGTCTTCTTCAGATCCATCAACAGCTTGGTGCCTTGGAAGCTGCCATATCCGGGCAGGCTGATGAGTAGAGACTGGTCTGGTGTCTCTTTGTTTGGAGGACTCGGTCGTTGTGGCGTTCCCGGCTGTGGCAGGGCCGGAGGATAAGTTGGCCTCGCATAGGTGAAGGCACCAAAGTACCAAAAGAGAAACACGGTACTACTTGAGAAAATCATGATGATGGCGAGCCTCCTCTTGAACCATCGCGGGGGGAAATGACTACCTTTTATAGTGCTTTCTTGCTCCGGTATCGTTGCTGGTGGTACCGCAGCAGACGGTCCAGGGAGTCGGTCCGTCATGGTTGCCGATGTGTGCTGCAGGGTGCCAGGGAGCAGGTCGCGCAGAGACTGCGGGGCTCCAGATTCAAAGTAACTGCTACTGCGGATAATCTGCGGCCAGAATGGCGTTTGTTGGCGCTAGTTGAGGCGGTGGGTGGTGCGCGATGGGCAAATCTGGTGTTGAGTGTGGAGAAAAGGCATAGGGCCGGCCAGTATGACGTTGCCAAGCCCCGTTAGGATCATGTCCGAGTCAAGTACATATCAAGATCAAGCTCAGTCTTGCCGGGAACCAGTGCCGTCTTTCGTTCTAGACAACTTGTTCCTGAAAGAAAGAAAGAAAAATCAATTGGTCCCATAAATCTCGCTATAGTAGAGACCGAGGGCACAGCGGACTGTGGATGGGCCCACGGCAGCGCAAGAATTGGCACGGATGCGCCATCCATGCTTGTCTTCAGCCGGACTTGTCTTTATTTTCTCTCTCCTACCGATGCATCGTCCAGCCCGAAGGGAACTAGAAATCTGCATCAGGGGTTCAATCTCCGTCGGTAGAATATACATATGCGCGTGACCGATATGCATGCAGGTAGCGAGGACAAGACTATCGTATTAGACCGCCTGCACCCCGCAACACTAGCGTATAGTAATCCAGCCACCAAAAATTTGGCTTACTCTGAGCGGCCATTGTTTTGACGCCGACAAAATAAACTTTGGACGAACGCAAAGCTTCACATACTTTGCCAGACTAGACTCAATGTAAATGCATTCTAGTTTCTTTCTTCTTCGAAACGGTGAAAAAAAATAACTCATACCCAAACTACGTGTGTATTTACTCATTTTTTTTTTACACTCATCGTCCCAGCGCTGCAAATTCCTTCTCCACCGCATCCGCCATATCCGCAAGCGTGTCAAACTTCCACGTATACACCGGATCATCGCGGTTCCCCATGACAGCCCCAGGTCGATAGATCCACGAACTCTTGATCCCCATATCCTTGGCGGGGTGGTGATCATGATACTGCGACTGCGCCGTCTGCAGCACCTCGTGCTTCTCCACGCCAAACTCCTCCTTGACATGTGCAAGCATGTATTCAAAGTTCCGGGGATCAGGCTTGTAAGATCCAATGTCCTGGGCTGTGTATACGGCGTCGAATTTGTAGCCCTTGAGACCATTTGCATTGCCCCTCTTGAACGAGTCGTGGTCGACGTTGGATAGGACGACTAACTTGTAGAACTTGGAGAGCCGCTCCAGTGCAGAAGGTATGTCGGGGAATCCGGGCCAATCGCCAATGCTCGCGCCAAACTTTGTGCATTCTTCTTCGCTGGGCTTCTGCAGCCCGACTGTCGAGCACAGCTCAGGGAGGACTTTAGCAAGTACCTCGGAGTACTTGAGGTGGCCTTGTTCCCTCTCGACGCGAGCCTCGATCTCGTGCATGGTTTTCAAGAGTTGCTTACGGTCAATGTCTTCTTTGCCGGATCTCTTCAAATGGGGCTCAAGTCCGATCAAAGCTCCACTCTCCCAGTCTATGAGCGTGCCATAGACGTCGAATGAAAGGAGCTTGAAGTCTGTGAGTTTGGCCATGTTGAATAGTCGCGCTGGATGACTTGTAAAGGGACGAAATAGTAGTCGAATCGGTATACTAGAATAGTTGAGTATGACTTGGAAAAATATGATGAGTCGTGTTGATGATTATCAGCAATGCGGTTCAGCGATATTTATACTTCGCGCATCTTATTGTTGGTGTCGTTGTTTGGAAGCATCTGAGTAACCCCACTTGGAGACATGACGTTGGCAGTGGGGTAAAAGACCGAGATAACACGCCCTTTGCACAAATGCGGACTACATGCGCGACTACAACACGGGAAATGCACCAACACGTAATAACTTAAGACAGACGCTGTACACGCTTTGCGTGCCTATCAGAGCAAAATGTAGATCGCTGACGCGTAGGGTTTAGCAACGAAGTCTACTGTGACTCAACAAACCGTTAAGGCCACTCATGCTTCAAGATGCAATCTGAAATTATACTACATTATTTGGTGTGGTATTCTATCGTAGGGTCGGTCCGATACTTTTACTCCAGAACTATCCTGTATGGACACCTTAAACCTTCATTTGATACGGCAAACTTCCAAGCTTTGACTCCAACACCTCCTTTGTCAACTTCCACACGTTTGCCTGCAGCTTCTCGTCCAGGGCCTGGTTAGATGGCGCCTGTACCTTCTTATCGGGAACAATGTATGAGTTCTAGAACTATTAGCACGGTACTCCATCTAAGTTTGTATGACTCACCTGGATTTGATCTTTGACAATGTCTGGCGATGCTGCTGCAAACAGGGCAGGCCGACAGCCTTCGGCCACTGGGTCCTTCATGAATGGTCGCACAGCATTCACGCCGACCTTACCAAGCGTGCCATACGCTTCAATGGCTTGATTCTGTTGATCCGTCAAGACACCACCGGGGTGTGTTGCATTGATCCACGGCAGACCCAAACTGTTCGCAACCTCTCCAAAGTTGCCCGCCTTGATGTGGGAATAGAGTTCGCGAAGAAAGAGAATCTGGGCCAGTTTTGTTCGGTTGTAGAGCTTCGTGGCACCGATATCCTGGTTGATCTCATCAATTGATTCAAACTTCATGCTCGAGTCTGCACCTCGGTGGAGGTCGGACGACTGGTGCACGATGCGCGAATCTGACGTCTTTTGTAAAATGGGCAAGAGCGCGAGTGTGAGATGGGCTTGTGAGAAGACGTTGACCTGCATGTGGCTGTCCAGGCCATCGCGCGTTTCGTTGTACACACCAACACCGAGACCAGCATTGCAAACCAATGCATCAAGCCTGTCCAGCTCTTTTGCCAGCGACTTAGCCACCTCGTCCACCTGCTTCAAGTCTTCAAGGTTGCACTTGCGCCACTCAACCTTGCTGACATCGCCCCATTCCTTGAGCGCCTCTTGGGCCTCGTCGGCGTGGTCTTCTTTATTCGAGAGGAGATAGATTTTGGCAGGGTTGTGTTGGAGGAGATGGGCAACGATGCCATAGCCGATGCCAGCGGAGCCGCCTGTTACGACATAAACCTAGTCTTCAATTAGGACCTGGGTATTCTTTTGGGGGATGAGAGCTTACCTTTCCGCTCAGGTATGGAATGTCGGTGTTAGGGTCGAAGGCGCTGCCGATTGCTTTCTTGATTGTGTCCATGGTGTATGCAGTTCAATATATTGAATACGTCAAGGAGTTTTGTTTACTTGGATTGCGAAGAATTCCTCAAACTATGGGGTTTTGTTCAACATATGGTTCACCAAGATGTTGCATGTCATGTCGTCATAATGATTTGAATTGGCGTAGGTGACACTTCCGACTACAGTAACTAGGCGTCGCATCAACTCAATATACAATATGCGTCAGGTAGAACTAAGGTATTGATTTATTTCTATCAAGTGCTGTATCTTGCGCACCAGTGCGTTGTGAAGTTTGCATATTTAGCTCTAGTGTATGTTGGTGTCTAGAAATTAATGATGTAGTATCGCGACACATGCGATGCAATTTGCTACGTATAACAGACAACTCGCGAAAAACGCGCTTCGAGAACAGCCCTTTGCTATTTTTGAGATGATACGTATTATTTTCATAAAAGATGAGGCGTCGTATACGGAAACATGACGTGCCATGTCGCTAGGATAGATGATGCAGGGCCAGCCCCGCCACTCCACCAAATGATTCGTTTGGATACGTTTGATCTTCAGAAAAAGTAGCATGCCATTTGTAACTAAAGCGCATATTTCAACGCAGTAACCCTCACTAAATAGCTAAATCCGGAAGATCCGAAAAAATCCAAATGTCTCTGATCTCGATAGACAAACAGGTTAGAGAAGAAGAAAAGAAGTTATTACCATTAAGCCCAAGTATCCAGCATAACTTCATCGGTCGAGTCCTAAACCCCAACGCCTTGATAACAACCTTGCGCATAAAACAATCCAGAGTGGGGTATATATCCAGCCAGCCAGCGCAAGATCATTAAAAGTTCCTCATTCCAGATTCCCCCCCCCCCAGCGCCAGTAAGCCCCAAACGGCTTGAAGAAGAAGAAAAAAACATGCAAATCTCCTAATCGTACATAATCTTATACCGTACATATTACAATGATAAAAAAAAGAGAAAGAAGGGACTACGAGCAAGCGGAGTACTCGCACGACAAATCCAGTCCCAGAAAAAGCGCGCCTCGTGAAAGAAAAAGAGAGATAGAGAGAGAGAGAGAGAGATCTATCGGAGGGGATCCAAGAAACAAAGGTAAAGAAAGAGAAGAATAGAAAAAAAAGGGGGGGTGGTGGTGTTACACATGCTCCTCCTCCACCAAACCCCCAACTTCATCAGGTCCAATCTCAGAACCTAAGAAAAGAAGCCCCTCCCCCTGCCCCCAATTTTAGGACTCAACGGCCCAAAAAGCTTAACATCAGCCCCCATCTTCTTCACAAACACAAGATACGCCTCAAGCGCCTCCTCCTGCGTCTCAAACGTCTTATCGCGATTCATCCACATCTTGAGGTACTTGTCGGCGCCGACATCTTTGAGAGCAGCGTACCAGCCGCCCTCGGAGCGCTGGCGGAGCTGGATAGCGAGGTTTTTACCCTTGAGAGCGCCGATTTTGGAGACTTCGCGCATGCAGGCTGCGCGGAGGTCGTCTTCGTCTTCCGAGTCTTCGTCGGAGGAACTGCTTTCTTCTTCGGAGCTTGAGTCGAGGGAGGAAGAGGAGGAGGAGCGTTGGATTTTTGGGCGCGAGGTCGAGGATGTGGTGGCACGGGAGAAGAGACTGGGGCGAGTGGCAGGTTTTTTGGGTTCGGGGGCGGGTTTTGATTCGACTTTCTTCTTTGCGACGATTTTGGGTTCGGGAGCCTTTTTGGGGGTGGGTGCGACTTTGGCGGTTGGAGGGCTTTTTGAGCGCGATTTCTTATCGCTTGGTTTTGAAGACTTTTCGGTCTTTTCCTTGGAAGACTTGACTGACTTCGATACTACGGAAGCAGATTTCGCTGACTTGGACGTAGTTTTTGATGGCGTTGGCGGCGTCACTTTCGCTGGTGGTGGCGCCGCTCTCGCCTTGAATTGTTCAAACGGGCTCGGCCATGACCCTATAGGTTTTGGTGTCTCTTCGACCGGCGGTGGCGGCGCACTCTTCTTCGACTTGGGGTCGGCTCTCGAGGGTCTCGCGGGTGTTTTTGGTTGTGCTTTTGGTTCTGGGGTCGACTTGGCTGTTGCTGCTGCTGTCGCCCTTATCGGCGCGCCTCTCCTACCAGTTGCGACTGGAGGTGGAGGTGGAGTATCGGGAACGGCGGCCTCCCCAAACAATTGTCGTGCTCGGTCCTTTACACTGGGAAACATGGTGTATGCGCAGCCAGGGTGTCCTGACTCGGTCAAAGTGTGCGTTCACTAAGTCGAAGCAGTGTCGAGTATGCGATTGATAGTGCCCAGTGTCAGCCTTACAACAAAGACCGTGGGAGATCAAAACAGTGCGTAATGGGGGGAGGCGAAGACAGTGCGCAAGTGATGGAGACATAAATGGAGACCTCGGGACAGGATACATATCATTCTGGCAGCCTAGTCGAGTTACTAGGACAAGCCACGGAGACGCATCGGCCACCATGTGAGCAGCAATCCGTTTTCAAAATAAGTGGAACATCCCAGCAACCGCTTCTAGAACGCCTGCTCGCAATGCGGGAGTTGCGGTTCCAACACGCAAAATGTTGCAAGTAGTGGGATGCATGGCTTGTCGCGTGGGACGCCGCATGACACGTTCACACGACTCCAACGCATGCGAACGTTTTTTTCTCTTACTTTCCCCGCATCTCTTAGGGGAAAAAGTAGCCCACGAGGACGACAATGCGACGAGGGTAACAAAAGGCGAAAAGCGATGGAATTACAAGAGTTTAAAGGGGGGCGAGTGAATGGATGAGCCACCACGGCCCCCCTTTCCTGGACGGAACACCGGCTTTGACGGGAAATTGGCAAACGGGACGAATAACGGCGCGGCATTCACTCCCCCGGTTTTTGAGGATAATCCGGACTCTCCACATTTTCTGAATTCCTGGATCTCCGGGGTTGTTTGTCTTCGCTCGCGTCTGGTTGCGATGGGATAAAAGGCGGTGTTGGTAAGATGGATCATGCACGTCAGTCAACGTGCAGCAACGGCATCGGCATATGGTTTAGCGGGCTCCACTCGTATCGCCTTAGCGCATTCTGTTTGTAAGTCACGTTGCGTGTCGTCTCGTGTCTCTCGCGATAGATTCGCATCAGCCGTCCAAGCCTCGTATGTTCCCAACAATGCACTCTCACCACGCGGATGCAGGGACCTCTCTCAGCACCCCATTGGCCTTGAGTAGGCGCCCCAACGAGTCTGTCTCTTCACTCTCAGTGTGTTATTATTGTCATTGTTGTTGTTGTCATTGTCTTCTCTCATCATAACAATCAGAGCCATCTTGGACAGCTCTCTCACTACATGTAAACATCTTCCTGCGCTAGAAAGGTAAAATCCCGTATATCATCACATCTCATCCCATCAGTGCATACCTACGCCTGCGCACTCACAGGCTTAATCCCCACCTCCGCCATCTTCGTCGCTTCAACGGGGCTATCCACCCTCTCCACCACATCCGTAAGGCCCAGATACTTCAAATTAGCCGCCCATCCCAAATCATCGCCAAAGTAACCCTTCATAACCTCGACACCGTACTTGATGCCGTTTGTTGGGTCGTACGTCAGACACTGCTTGCCGACAGCCAGACCAATGACTGCGTCCCAAGCGGGCAGCTCCGCCGTCCCGTATCGCTCGGATGAGGGGTCCAGTTCGGAGTTGAGGATGGCGGAGTAAATGTTTTGAGCGGCGGCTTGGCCCATGACTGTTGCGCTGCCTGCGCGCTTGATGCCGGTCCACGCAATCACGTCACCGACGCCAAAGTGCGAGGATGCGTTTGCGATTGTGTCTTTGAACATTAACGATTGGTGCACCATGACTTCCTTGTCGGCATTTAGACATTCCGCAGGTAAGACGTCGGTGGTAGGTGTGCCCTTCTTTGTCGAGTCAATGACAAAGTCTGCGGTGATTGTTTCGTTGTTTGCCAGTGTGACGGTGTACTGGCCGTTTGGCATCTCAGTGATGGTAGCCCGGCTACCGAGACGCAGAGCAACACCCTCTTCCTCGAGAAGAATTCTTGCGCGCTCCTTGACTTCTGCAGGCAGGGGCTCTGATGAGAGAACTTCACTCCGTGAATGTACCAATGTGACGGCAATTTGCGGGTAGTTGGTCTTGATCTCAGCAGCGAACTCGATTCCGACAGCGCCAGCGCCAATGACGACTACCCTTCTTCCCTCATACTTTGACGGATCACCACCGGTAATCTTCTCAATAAACGCCCTTCCATCTCTTTGATACTCCTCAAAGGTCCCAGACTTTGGCACAGCGGGGAACGGCCTCTTCAGCCCTGTAGCCATGACAAGGTAGTCATATGCCTGCAGTTGCACCTGACCATTACGATCGCACCATGCGACAACCTTGGCTTCAGGGTTGACATTCTTAACGCTTCCATGCTTGAAATGTAGGTTCGGCTGCTTCAACTCATTCAAATGGCTGAACCTCTTCCACATATACGCCGTATATTTCGGCGTCACGTGGGCAAGCGGTGAGCCAACAGAGTGGACTGTGAAGAGACTCAAGCATTAGTTATGCTCTTTAGGAGTGGTAAGGAGGGTGATGGTGGGGGGATTGGATTTGATAGCGGGGTCCAATTGCACACAAGTCAAGCCTCGGCTAGAAGAGGGGGGGGCAAAACGCACAATATCCATCACGCTCATCGATAACTGTAATCTCGACTCCTCGTCTACTCCGTACGCCCTTGAAGTCCGGGCCTGGGTACACGCTTTGCCGTGCGCGGCCCTGTGAGTATTGGAGAAGGTTGAGGACGGCTGAGATGCCGCCGTAAGCGCAGCCCACAACGAGAACCCGATGAGGGCCCGATGAGCTAACGCTGCTCAGGGTTTCTGTGAGCCTCATTGTGAAGGGGTCTTTGATCTGATAACGGAAGCGTCGTGGGGGTAAGCAAAAACGAGGCTGTGAGCAGAGGGGTGGGAGATGATCTGATTAGATTAGGGATGACAAGGCGGACTGTCTGCTACTTATTGCTACCAACGCAACATGTGAGACGCTACACCGACATCGGGAAAGACGAGCAGTGTACAGCGCGCCGGTGGCTTGTAGTCTCCACGGACGATCCACTACCACTATGGACTTGAGAGTAGAAGACGTGATTGGTGACCGGAGTGGCATCTTATCAGATCCGAGAGTCTGCCGATGCAAATTTTTATCAGATGCCCCACTTTGCGGATGAGACTATACCAGGCATCACCTTCTGCCAAGGTATCCAATGTGGGCTATGCTCTTCAACGATGTCCACGATTAGCTAGATGCCGTTAGACATTGATCTTTTGGTACCGAATTAACCGCCTGTTTCTCGGGCCACCCCGAGATTTCATGTCGTTGGCCCAGTACAAAGCCTTCCTATGTGAATGTAGATACGTCACGTAACCACATAGACACAGGCACCATCCATATCTTATCACAACTTCAACAGATAAAAACAAAGCTTTTTTGGAACTGACTAGTTCGCGTTTCCTCTTACAGAAACCACAATTATACGAAAATATATACCTCTGGAATTACCACGCAACCTATTTACTCTTTATCTTCATCGTCTTCATCATCTCCCTCCTCCTTGCTCCCCCATCCACCCAAGAGTCACTCTCCCTTAAACCCTTCCACCAAGACAACAGGCCCCTTGTACTGTTTCCTTGCGCGAACCGCATAATCGACTCCACTAAACAACGCAACAGCTGCAAACATGACAACAGCCCAGTTAAACGATTCGGCCTCCACAGGCGTAGCTTCAGGCCAGAAGCACCAGAAGAAGGCGTGAGTGGAATACAGGAAGCCGCCGATGTTGACGGGGACACCCCATTTGCCGAGGGACCAGCGGCATGTGGGCAGAAGTTCTGGGTGCATGATGCGGCGGTAGAGAACGGCGCCGATGGAGAACATGTAGGTTATCATCAGGGCGACGACGTTGAGGGAGATGACTGGGGTATCCTTGTTAGCACGGCTATTCGATAGGAAAAGAAGAAAGGGGCTGACTCACTAGCATTGAAGGCAACATCCGAGCCGATGTTAATAAAACTCAGAATAATCGTAAGAGCACACGTAACCGTCACCGCATTTGCAGGGACCTGGAGCTTGGGGTCTACATGGCCGATCCAGCTGCTAAAGGGGAGACCGCGGTCTCGAGCGAAAGCCCAGGTCTGGCGGGATGTGGAGAGGTTGTAGGTTAGGGTTCCGGCGAAGATGAGGACGGTGGGGATGGCGTTGAGGGCGATGACGCCGCCGGTGGAGACGGCTTGGGCGAAAACCCACATGTGTGGGTAGCCGGTTGCGTCGTCGAGGGCAGCTTGGACGTCGGTGATCATGAACATGTAGCTGATGAGGAAGACGACACCGAGGGCGCCGTTCATGATGTAGGCGCCGATCATGGCGCGGGGAACGGTTTTACCTGCGTCCTTGATTTCTTCGGCCATGTGGGCTGCAGAGTCGGAGCCTGTAGCTTAACGTTAGTGTTGTCACAAAAGGTATAACCTTGGAGCGAAACGTACAGATACAAGCGTAGATGGCTGATAGTTGGCCTACCATGAGTGCCAGGCCAGTGGAACTCCAGCCGCCACCGTTAGTAAAGTGTGTAAATGTCACTTCGGCCGTTGCTCGTGGCGACAAGACCCAGAAGACAATGATAATGGCCAGGAAACCAAACACGTGGATGACCAACATAATGTTCTGGAAGATGGGCATGAACTTTGAGCCCCAAATGTTCAGTACCCAGACCAAGAGGGTGACGGCGATGACCATGAGCGTTCCTTGCCAGTTGGTAGGAGAGTAATCTGGATACATGACAATGGCCGAGGACTGAATCAGTGTTCCCACGAGAAACGGTCCGGACGCGGTACCAGCTTGCCATGATAGAGTCGACATCCATCCGATGAAGTAGCTAAATGGCTTTTGCACGCTTGGAGGCGAGAATTCCGAAACCCAATGGTACTGTCCACCAGCTGTCGGCGCCATGGATGCCATCTCGGCCAGCGACAACATGACGGTGCTGAAGCCGAACCAGGTCCATACGAAGCTCCAGATCAGGCCAGCTGGGCCTCCATCAATCAAACCTTGAGAGGTGGCACTGCTGCTGTCAAACTCGTGTCCTTAAAAGCGCTCACATATAGTCACTCACGTCAGGAGAACCTCCCATGTACCCTGCAAGATGACCGTAAAAGCCAGTGCAGACAGCGGCCGA